CTACACTGAGTAGCTAGACAGTACCCAGGGCTGCCTCCCAAGAGGTGGTCGTGGAAGGGTACAGATGTACAGTTCTTCAAACTGGAATAGCGGCGTTTCATTGTTTCACGTAGTTTATGGGGCGTGCACGCTTTCACGGATTCAAGAGCACTCGAATTGTAATACGAAGATGCTGAGCTTGTCGAGGCTTGCCAACAGAGTCCTGCCTGTCAAAATTCCTTGAGGGCAACGCAAGGTCGCGTCGTTTCGTCATTGTCGCTCCCGTTTGCCATTTTGTCTGTACCTCCCCCCTTTGGCGGGGGGGCCTAGGTGGGGGGACCGTTTGTCTCGGTTCATCCCGTCCTATGTCCTCGGCAGGTCACGACTTTGTAAGTTTGGCTATCGACTCCTCATAGAATCACTCTCCCACGACAAGCCCTTAGTGCTGAGTTAATCGTGCTCAAGCAATTGTGCTCTTCGCAGACTTTCCCTGGGATTTTGAACACAGTGAGTCGAAAACAGAGATAACCATGCCCTGTTTCAATCGGGTGCGCTGCAAATCATGAACACACTGAGTCCGCCTGAGGCAAATTCGTGCTCTTGGATATAAGTCATGATTCGTCTTGGCACAGAGATTCTGATTACAATGTTCCTCACTCCTGCACACGTTTGAACACCCTTCTTGCCACTGCCCGCAAAAAGGAAGTTTGCTACCTCCTGATCCTCGTGTACTGAGCGCAGACAGAAGAATGAATTCAATGCCCCGTTTCACCTCGCTCTCAAGACAGTCGCTTCGGCTCTGACAGCCCTGATGAGATACGAGCCCGGCTTGTTCGGTGTGGGTGTTTGGGTGTTGTTGGTTTTGTTTGGGTTTGTTGTTTTGCGCCTTTTGTTTCGGTGTCTGGCTCGTATCTCCTTAGTACTCCTATTTAATTCAATCAAGGTGACTTGTGCCTCTCGGCACACACAGCGCCTCCACCCGTGCAAAAAAAAATGGATGATCTCATCCTTGCCAATGGAAAGTGGCCACCTTTGATTGGCCGATCAGAACAACCGCCCACGTCCTGAAGCATTTTTGCTTTTCGTTTTTTGCAGCTGGTCAACTTTTCACCTGTCTCACTTTAGCGCAGAGGAAACACTGCCCACCTTGGCTTGGGGGTCTTTGGTTGTGTTTTGTTCTTTGGGTTTTTGTGGTTTGGGGTTTGGCTGTGTTCTGGTCTTGTTTTCTTCCCACCAACTTGCAGTGTTTCCATACTTCTCATGATGACCTGGGCACACCGCCCACACGGCGTCCGCACTCGTGGAAAAAAAGATGGGCCGCACTGTTGGCAATGGATTGCCCTTTCGTTTGGCGCGTTAGAGCCGATTTGTCACCAGTGGCTTGCCAGAGCCATGCATTATGAGCGCAAGAGGACAGAAACGCGCCCAAAAATCAGCAACCATGCCTCCTGACTTGCTCGATAAAGTCAGTCTGATCTATTGCCATGCCTCTACAAGCACAATGCAAGATCCCGGGCATGAAGATCACCTGCTTCTGTCGCTCATAACGTGCCAATCTGTCCAGGCCTAGCAACCAAGCCGTGAATAGTGTCAGCAACTTCGACTTAGCTCCAAGCTTATCATGTGGCCTTTGCACTGATTCACGCCCGATATATGTCTCACTACTGTTTCACCCTGCATGTACACACAAGAGTCTTCTGCTTTCTTTCCTGGTCGGTGGTTGTTTGGTGTTGTTTTGTGTTGGTGCTGTGTTTGTTGCTTGGCACTTCATACAGGAGACTCTTTCAAAAACAGCAAGCTGACCTATGCATTTCCTGCATGAATGGCGGCTCCACCCGTGCAAAACAGATTGGCGTGCAGCGAAACTGGAATTGTTGCATGTTCCACACATCTTGATTTGACATAGTGTACCCCACTGGAACTGGAACTCGAACTAGAACTGGAACCCCCGCCCCCCCCCCGGTAAAAAAAAAGACACTAAAGTGAACTTTGCCCATCACCTCCAGACTCGGACCCAGAGTTGGAACTGGAACTCGAGCTGGAACTGGAATTCGAACTGGAACTGGAACTCGAACTGGAACTGGAACTCCCCCCCCGGCAAAAATATTAATCGACATTCAAGTGACATTGGCCATCACGTCCAGACCAGACTCGGACCCAGAGTAGGAACTTCGAACTGGAAGTGGAACTGGAACTAGAACACTCGCCCCCCCCCGCGAAAACAACAACAACAACAACAACAACAACATTTAACATCATTTAACTGACAGTGGCAATCACTTCCACACTCGGACTCAGAACTGGAAGTGCAACTGGAATTGAAACTCGAACTGGAACTGGAAGTGGAACTCCCCCTCCCCGAAAAGAGAAATAAACCTTAAACTGACATTGGCAATCACTTCCAGACTCGGACCCAGAACTGGAAGTGGAACTGGAACTGGAACTCCATCTCCCCCCCCCCGAACAAACAAATTCGACATTCTCCTGAGATTGGTAACTGGAACCAGAACTAGAACTAGAACCGGAATTGGAACTAGAAGTGGAACAGGAACTAGAACCGGAAGCGCAACTGGAACTTGAATTGGAACTAGAAGGAGAACTACAACCGGACCACCCCATCCCGGAAAAATACCTGACACTGGTACGAAATTGGGAATTGGATCCAGACTTCGACCTGGAAGTAGAACCGGAACCGCCCCCTCAAGAACCTCCCCCCTCCCCAGTCTCCCTTCTTGGACGATGAGGAATTGGAACTGGAACTGGAACTCCCCTCCCCCCTCCCCAGTCTCCCGTCTTGGACGATGAGGAACTGGAACTGGAACTGGAACTCCCCTCCCCCTCCCCAGTCTCCTGTGTTGGACGACGTGGAACTGGAACTGGAACTGGAACTCCCCTCCCCCCTCCCCAGTCTCCTGTGTTGGACGACGTGGAACTGGAACTGGAACTGGAACTCCCCTCCTGTGTTGGACGACGTGGAACTGGAACTGGAACTGGAACCCCCCTCCCCCCTCCCCAGTCTCCTGTGTTGGACGACGTGGAACTGGAACTGGAACTGGAACTGGAACTGTTCCACTCGCCCGGGGCACACTCTGTGATTTGAACACCAGCTTGTGAGTTGGCTCCTCTTTAGAGCTGCACGAGGCAATGACCCCAATGAGAGCCGGCAGTTGGCTTCCCATCGTCTTGCGCAGCCGCCAATGAGGGACATTGGGGGGCTGGACGTCAATGCTTTGGCTGCAACCACAAGGCGTGTCCTGAGACAAAGCGCACAAACAGCACAAAACAACATGCACAATTGGCTGGATCTCAGACGAGGACCTGTTCTTGTGCTGAGGGTGGGTCACTACCCTGCCAGCTGTATATTTAGTGTACAGACAACACCGCATCTATGTTTCACCAGAGCACTGCACGACCTCAGCAAGCTTGCCATCGAGAGTTAGCACCATTCATAGGATGAAACGGACGCTTGGCGAAGTACACTCCTGTAGGTTTATGGCCGAGCTGCAGCAGCACCTCCCTCTCTCTAAGTTGGTGGGCAGCACCACCCTGTCAATGCGAGAATTGCCACCACCGTTCATCCTTGTCATGTGCACTCAATGCAGGCCACAGTGAATGCTCCATTCCCTTTCGCTTGTCACGTTAGAGTTTTGCGCTTCGCTGTTTTCCACGGCCAGGACTTTCGTGCTCCATTTGCTTCATTTTGGCACACGTGCACTGGGTTAGCTGTTGACCGACATGGTAGTCCACAATTGCTACACAGTACACCTTTGAACCACGCCGATAGCATGGCACTTAGTTGAAAAAGTGCTCACTGCACAGGCCTGCCATAACAGACCATTTGCTTGGGGACAGACGGTCTGAGACACACGAACAAAAGGCTGACTTCTCGTAGCAATTCGTCCAGGCCCGGCTGTGTTTCACATCGAATGAGACAGGAAATCTTCAAACTGGCTGACCTTCGCATTCTTTGTTCGCACTATCATTTCTTCCATCGGGGCCATCCTTGGGTTCTGACCAAGTTGCCGCACAAGACGGAACTGGTGTGCACAGCGTTTGGATCTTGTATTTGCACTTGCAACGAGTCAGCAAGTTGGAGTGAAAGCCATGTCTGCCAAAATCCACTTAACAGCTGGTCCGAGTGCTTGGGAACACCATATTGTCACCAGGATGGTGGGAACCGAGTACTGTTTTTTTTTGGCATTTTTTTTGCATGTTTTGTTTCATTTTTTGGAGGTATGCACGATGTTTCATTTTTCGCAGGTATGCGCATGTGATATTTTGTGTTTGATCATTCTCCTCTCTCTTATGTAGCTTACCAGAAGCCCATCCACAAGTACGATCGAAATAAGGAAGAACACACACACAAAAAACAACTTTCAACGTATGTCAACGTATGTCCAAAGATTTGCAACGTTCCTTCCTTCCTGCCGCCCCCTATGCAAAGTGTTTTCAAAAGCTCCTCCCCTCGTGCGTTTTGGGTTGTTGTCTCGCGCTTTGTTTCTTTTTGAAATGGTCTCGCATTTGGGTGATGTTGGTTTCAAGCCCACTCCGGAGCAAAGAACTATACAGCACAGACGTCCTCCCATTTCCAGCAGTCACGAATTCTAACATAGGCTGATTTAGGCGTTTCGTCCAAATCTTATTACAGAAGAAGGTTCCAGCCAACAGAAAAGTGTCAGGTACGGGCAGTTTAAAAACAGTTCAGAGTGCACACTTTGTTTATTATTCAACAGTCTGAAACGGCGATGGATTGTTTGTGTTTTTGACATGTTTTTTGACTATTTCAGACGAGAACATTCTACACGCACAAGATGCAGAGTGTGCACATGGACGTAAATCAATTCGTCCATTTCGGCTTGAACATATCAGGGTTCGCATCTCTGGAGTCTGTCTCCAAAGCGTTACAGATTCAAGGACGAATTGGGTGCGAGCATTTCCGGCCACTTTTACGGGTTTGTTTAGTGCTTTGTCATGGGTTGCAGCCCTGCGTACTGTGAGCAGCCTTGCGTTGGTGTGTTCAGGAGATTTCCCGAGATGGAAGGACCAGACATGCAAGTGCCGGGATGCTTGGACTATTGGATCTTGCCAAGGAATGGCTCTGAAACGAATCGTTTTGCTGAAAGCGTCTGGACCTGGACAACTTAAGTGATCAATGATCAATATCTCAAGCCACCTGATCAACTGGTTCAAAGTAGGGCCATGCTTGTTGTTCTGAGGGGTTCTCTGCTCCCAGAGGAGAGCGACGATCAGGCCAACATGTATGTTCTTGTAAAAACACAGAAAATACTGCATGTGGTTGGACATGTGCCATATGACCACTCTTGTTTGCTTTGACGACAGGCCACAGACTTTTTGGTGGAAGCGCAACGAGAGGTGGAGCAAAGACATTGGATTGCACACAGAAGCTTTTGATATATGAATATATGACGTATGCGATTCTGATCCATCCCCTGCAGTGGCAGGTGCGCTTTGCGCGGCGTTGTGCCATTTCATCCATGCTTTTGGCAGGCAGTGTTGAGGTTGAAGCCTGTTAGTCGATCAGAGTCAGCGTGTTTTGGGGAGACTTTAAACGGGAATCAGGCTAATGCTGTGTGTCAGGAACATGATGCCAGTTTTTCTTAAGAACTCCAAATGTAAGACGTCTTACTGAAGTCAAACATTGATGATTAGTTTGCGTGAAACTGCAACAGCACTCCCGACAAGACACTTTGCTGTTTCGCGGGAAGTTTTCTTCAACTGGTTTGATTCCACCTTCCCTTTAAAGGCGCTGCTGTGACCATGCTGGTGGCGACGGTGTCTCTCGGCAAGTGGACAAATTCAGTATATATGTGAATGCCCACAGGCCTGGTACTCCTGTGTTTCGCCCCAAAACGGACTAGACTTGGCTGGTTCTTGGACACTGCAGAACTGGCTGAAGAGTTCTAGTTCTTGGCTTTGCTGTGAAAGATAAAGAAACACAGTTTTGCCGATGATTGTTTGGCCATGGACACACAGGGATGGGACTCTTAATGGTATGATTCTCGGGGTCTGCGAATCCTATTGAATGTGTTTGCGTGTGTTCGTGTTCTGCGTTTCTGCAGCTAACCGCGGGATCTAAGGTTTCAGAATAAATCGGCCAGCTCAGATGTGACGCAGGCCGCATTGATACACATTGCCTTACTTGCGGAGTACCCAAGGGTTGTGGACAAGCCTCAGTGAGATTGGGGAAGGAATTCAATTTGTGGATTCGGGGGGTTGTTGAGCTTGCCACCAGAGTGGAATGGACCACCGGAACAGGCGATGTACGTGCGATGTACGCAGCGAGCATGCTTGAATGCGCAGGCGACGGTCCTCGACAACACAGTGTATCCCACGTTCCCAGGTGTGGAATTTGTTAGGGCAGAGCATCGAAGCAAGAAGCACTGAGAAGCAACAAAGATGTCATGACTGGAGATTGACTGGGTTGACTCGGTTGACCATCTCATTTGTTTGGAGGTTCGATCGGATCGGGGAGGATTCAGCCAGCTGCGAGGTGTGCCTTTATTGTCACCCGGTTGGGCACGCTGCATCACCAATGCTGCCGGAATACCAAGGGAAAACCCATGCCAAGCTGTACCTGTATCATGTGTTAACTGTTTTTTGATGTTTTTTGCCTTGTGCCTCTGATGGCCTCGTGCCAAGGTGGTGCGTGAAGGCCACAATCCTGAGTCCCCAAAGGCAAGATGCCAAGCCGAGCTGTTGTGCAAGTGGAAATCGATCCAACAGATCATCCGAAATGCGCTCCGTTCTTGGTCTTCTGATCGGCAAGCTTCATCATCGTTTGCTGGGCCAAAAAGATTGAGATTGTTGATTCTTGTTGAATGTCCGAAAATCCAATTGCAGCCCTCACGAGGATGAGTCCCAAATGGTCACTTGCTCAACCGCCTCGATTGGCAGGTGGCGGTGGTCCGTGAGAAGACCAAGGTCTTGGTGGCCGAAGTCCGCGGTCGCAGGGTGCAGCCCAGCAGAGTTGTCAGTTGTTTCTTTCGACCATGAAAGACACACAGCGTGATTCTTTTCCTTTGCCGTTCTGACCTCCTTTGGTTATTCTTTTTCCATCCATTCCTTTCGCTTCTTCTGGTATGCTTCTGGAGGAGAGTGAGGGAAGCACAATTCATTGGGATGCGGCAACCGCGCCATCAGTTGCTTTCCATTTGGCGAGGTTCGCATAGAAGAGCCCATCCATGGCTGGGTTTCATCAATGTCAAGCGATGGCCCGGAGACCAAGAATTGATGGCAGAAAGGAGGAGGTCAGAATCATCATGAGGTCGGTGGAACCATGAAGTGCCAAGCCGCGGAGCTTTCTTGTTTCCATGGTCCATTATGTTGTGTACATCAAAAAGCGGTCACATAGGCTGACCTTTCTTAGCTTTCTTTCTCTTCAATTAACTTGTTTTCTCTACCTATTACCTATCTCTATTCTCTCTCTCTCTCTCATAAGTCCGGACATGTCTCATTTCAGCCTTCCCTGCGAAGATGGCTCATTCCACTGCGGTGAGACATCGGGCGTCGAGAAGCCGAGAGTCGAAAGTCAGAGTCGCATCGTTCGTTGGCATCGAAGACTTCAACTTCGATAGGTTTCAATCAACGAGATCGGTTTCAAGAAGTATCGGCCTCGTAGGGTTGTCTTGGCTGGCTTCTTTCAGGCTTGAAAAAGCTGCAGGATGTTGGTGGAGGGTACAGAAATTGGCTTGGATTTGGCTGGTTTGGCTGGTTTTGATTGAATGCGTGCGTCAATCCATAATTCACCGTTGGTACTCTCCGTGTTTTTAGACCGGTGGTACTTTGGGTGGCGGCACGTTTTGTCTTAGACGAGTCTCTTTGTCATATAGACTCGCTCGAGGTGCGAACTCGGAGGTATCGCAAGTTGGTTTGGCTGTCAGTTTTGCTTCTTTGCATCTTTGAGGGCTTGGTTTTTCTGGGGTTTGTTTGGCTGCTTCCTCTGGAAGGAAAGCAAGCAAGACCTAATTTTAATATGGTGTCTGCTGGCCTGGCTTGGATTTTGTCCATTTGGCTGGCTTGGCTGGCTTGGGGAAGAAAAGCAGAGAATCTTAGGTGACACGTGGCGTTGCCTAACCTTGCTACCTTTTTTTGATGCTTTTGTAAGGATACCTTCTTCTAGGGCTTTGTTTGGTTTGGCTTGGCTGGCTAGGCTGCTTAGGTCCTTTTTCCCTTCCGGGCATATTCCCCGAATAAGCCGTTTGGCTCGCTCGGAAGACCGTGGCTTCTCGTGGCTCTCGGGATTTGGCTCACATCGGAGTGGCAGAGACTGCGTCGGGCCACGCAGAAGAGACACGCTCAAAACCTACTACGCTCAGAAACTGCAGCGTCCCTGAAAGCCTGAAGCCTTTTGGTTAGACTGGCTTGGCTTAGGCTCAGCTGCGTCAATGGCTGGCCTTAGGTTTTGCTTTGGCCGGCTTTGGTTTTTGCTTGTTCAGGATTTGTCTTTGTTTGGCTGGCCTGGCGTCGGCTATCACAAGCTGGAAACGGTCGTGGGGAGGTATCAATATCAACGTCGTTGACTTTCGTAGAGGTCTCTCAACGTTGACAGTTTTTTTTGCTTCTCACCGTCTTAGTCCCCATTTGTCTGGAGCTTCTGTGAGGAAACGTTTCGGGCTAACCGAGGCATCGAAGTGATCCGGATGTTGGAGGGCGAGAAGCTGCGCGACCACTGTTGGGGAACCCGCACATCGGGGAGAGTCACCGACGAGTCACCGCCTGTCGCGGTCAGCGTGATGGGATTCATAGCCTTGGTGTTCATTGCAGAACGCAGTCTCTTCCCGTTGATTGCTTTGTGCGTGGAAGGCACATTGAAGATCATTGAAACACGTCCCACAATCTAGTGGAAGGGACGTGGCTGCCTTGCGCGCTTGTGCCAGTCAAGCGAGATATTGACCGCCGTAGCTTCCCCAAGAACCAGAGCGCTCGAGCCTTAGATCGTCCGCAGATCATGAAAGGTAGCTTGAGCTACCTGAGTTCTCTCTGCTTTAGCAAACATGTATTACAATCAGGAGTTGGGATTGTGCATTGAATTTGGTCCTGTAAGAAATGATTCTGTTCGTCGGGGAGGGCCCCCCCCGGATCAAATCTCCCCTGGGTCGGTTCACGCCGTCATGGACTTCTGCCAGGGTTACTTGTGATTGCCTGCTACCTTTCGTTCACCCCCTCCTCTCTCAAGTGTACAGACGCTCCTCCTTAAAGACTTGTGAAGATTGGTTTTCCAAAGATATATATATATATATATATTATAGAACTGATTCCCACAATAGAGTCACCCAACTTTGGGATGTCAAGATGCACAGGTGGGGCCCTCCAATCTGCAGGTTTCCAATTTTAAGCAGAAGATGTGGTCCCTGTTAGCGATATTGGGATAAGCTGTGCATGTGGTAGCGAGGATGTGTTCATGGGGCCAGAAATGGCCAGCAAATAGGCCATGCCAATATCAGAAGTCTTTCAGCGTGCGTACACACTACTAGTCATGCATTCCTATTTCACTAATTTGTGCATCAAAAAGGGTGTACTCCAGGGCCAGACACCTCAAGAAAGTAATGCATTGGTCGTCTGATAATTAACCTTTTTGTGGGTCTCGGTGATCCTTGTTGAAGGCCAAGTTGAAGCTGCATGTCAGGCACAGGAAAGCTTCGAACAGCTTCGTGCTGAACTTCTCAAGCCAGTTGCTGAGGTTGATTGAATCGTGATTTCGGTGATTTAGCATGAATATGATTCTTCAAACCAAATGCCCGAAGCGGGTCACTTGAGAATGAAGAAATCTGCATCGAATCCAGCGCTCTCGCGACCTGAGGCTTAAGGGCAGCGAGGGCCAACTCATGGGTCTCATGGCATGGCAACCCAGTGATGCCACTCTGCCGCTCCGCCTTTCCAGGTAAAAATACATTTTTGTTAAAAGCCAGGGGAAGCGAAGCTGGCACATTCTTCATTGAGGTCAACTGATGAAGTTGGTACGGCTTCTGGTTTGCCTGGTCAAAAATCATCGTTCCGTAAAGACCCCTTTTACAAAACACACAGGCGTATCAGAGTATTCCTTTCGATATTGATCTAGTTGAAGGTTGGCAGGTTGTTTGGAGAGAGGAAAATCTTGGACAGTGGGGAATGGAGGAAAAGTGACACTTGGCGCTCTTCATTGCCCAGGAGCGAGTGGTTGGGAAGCTTCAGGACAAAGCCAAGGCCAAGCCAAGTTAGCGTTGGTTTTTTGGAGTCCCAGGTGGTGCAGAATTTCTTCCTTTACAGAAACCTGGCAGAGTATGCTGAGAGACCCAATTGATCGCAGCCCATTCTGCAAAAGAGGTAATTCTGAGGAATCGTCCAGACAGTCACTCTAACACAGCGGTCCTTCACTTGCCTAGAGAGTTCTTGGCTCAAATACAAGACCGTACCAAGAACTCGTTGGCTTCGATTCATTATCACTTGATGTGATCACTGTTTCCCAGGATTATTTTTTTTGCAACACAACCTCAAGTGAATCGAGTCAGGTCCATGCATATGCTGATGTGGCCACCGACGGAGCCACGCAGGCGCAGAAAACCAAGCGCTGTTGCATCGACCTAAGTAGCAAGAAATAATTACAGACCTGTTTGTGTTAGTTCGGGGTTCTTGTTGAGACCTTGTAGGCGTAGTTTGCGCCACTTTAGACCTTTTTCGAACTTCAAGCCTCTTGCTTTTCTGATGTCGCAGGTGGTTCAGAAGCTCCAGGACACCATTCAATCCATCGACCTGGACAAGCCAGAACCTCAGCTTGCATGCTTTTGCTACCCAGATGCCAAGAGGCCATTTTCCCGGGGCTCATTCCTTTCGGGTTTTGACAGGTGTTGGGCACCTTGACCGACCTGTGGGCATCTGCCAGGTTTGATGCCAAGCAGATGGCTGAGGACTTCTTGAAGGGTAAGGCAAGTGAAGACTGGACAGACCCCCTTGGGGCTTCAGATGACTCTTGTCTACTGGACTCAACATGGATATTTTGAGTCCAGTAGTAGGTGCGTCCATTTTCAAGTGATATTGCATTCAGTGTTACTCAGGGTTCAAGTAGTATCTTGAAGATCAAATATAAAGGCGTCATCCTTTTTGCAATTCTTGGTCTGAGTCAAGCAGCCATCTCAGCTGTGTCCCAGTCACAACAGGTTCACCTGGGCGACATTAACATCGACTTCTTGAAGTCGGAGGCATGAAAAAAGAGAAGACAATGGAAGGAATCGATTTAGCAGAGCTTTTCATCGAGCTTTAGTGCATGTTCCAACGGTGCATCAGCCGCACTTGCTGGGCTCTCTCTATTCAAGATAGGCCCAAACAACAAACTCACCGTCCAGATTCGAACAGTCACTCGGGGCTTCCGCAGCAAAAGCAGGCGCCGCAAACACCTCGCCCGAGCATCGACATCGCAGGGGTGCTTAGATTGATTGATCCCACTGATGAGGTAGCTGGGATCCCATGACCCCCAGGAGAAATCATTCGATCTGTCACCACCCGGACGTCCAACCAACTTTTGGTCTTCCGGTAGCTTTTATTGTTGAGACATTGTGGTGAAGTCAAGCTTGCAGGAGGTCTGAGGAGCAGACGGATTGCTGCTTCGGTTTATCCCGGTTTTGTCGCGGTTTTGTCGCCTGGCAGTTTGCCGTCACTCAGGTGGAATGAGACCTGAACAGGCTGGACAGGTCCAGTCACGAATTGGAGCTAGAGCCGAATGGTAGCTCACTCAGGAATTCTGGCCAAGCCTGCCTGAACTGTTGATGGGTGTCACCACAAAACAAAGGAAGGTGACGTGGTTCTGATTGCCAAAACCGTTTGTTCTGCGTAAGTTCTGTCTTTTTGGAGTTGGTTTTTGAAAGAAAGGGTGAAGGACTTGGGCCAATGTCACCGATGTGAGGGTTGGCCGTCGAGTGCTGCAGATAGCAAACATTAGAGAACTGAAAGTGCTGGAAGAGAGCCGACAGTGATGACTGCAAGGGTGAGAAGCTTGACGTCGAGAGAAGTTCTTAAGAGGACATGTTTGGTTGGAGAGTTCCTGGAGAAAGGATGACTGGCCCCCCCAAGTTGCTGTAGAAAGAAGCTTGACAATTCACAAAGCCTGTGGCGCCTTGAATCAACCTACACCCACAGAAGCAGTCATCCAATATCGGTGATCATGCGTTGCTTAGCGCGAGCCCCATTGAGGAGGGGTGTAATTTTTCTTCTCAGGGTTGAGAGCTCTGTTCGGAGCACATGGACTTCAGAACACTTCAACACATTACTAGTAGTAACAAGAAGCTAGTGGTAACAAGTGCATCGCTACTAGTAACAAGTGCCTTACTAGTAGTAACAATAAAGCTAGATGGCGGTTCCAGAGGTGGTGTGAAGTCGAATTTCTTTTCCGGGATTCTCATCAGGCCGGAGTTGGCAGCTCGTGGGGTGCCAACTTGGGAACCTGGACAAGCACCAATCGTGCTAAGATGTGCTTCAAATCGCAATTTTTGTGAAGTTCCCAGGTATTTTTTCTCAGACAGGTGGAAGCTCCGGACGTTCTTACTTTCTCCGCCAACTTCTCTTAGAGCAAGGCCTTGATCAAAAGTTTCCTCCACAGACTCTTCTTCCAGCGAAAATTGGGTCACTTCTCCTAACCTCAGAACCCTGAAACCCTGGAACTCTGGGGCTGAGGGCCCCACCTTTTGATCTTCACTTTCCTTTGGAATTCTGAAGCTGCTCGGAGCCAAGCCGTGATCGCTGCTTTTGCATTCTGGAACCGTCCCCCAATCCCATCACTCCAGTGCGTGTAGAGGCCCTAGTGGGGTTTTCGGGATGGGGTTGGTGGTTCAACAAGACCGAGTGACCAAACAAGCACCCGTGATTTTTCCTTTTCTGGTGCAAAAATGCTATTTCAGGTTTATCCCACATGCCGTTGCCTGGAACCAGGCCCTGATCGCAGCAATCTTCACCTGGAGTCCATCTCATTGCGAACATCCAGCCACTCTACTTTGTGGGTGGTGGCTATAAACAACTGAGCGACCAAAGGAGTACACCTTGTCAGTTTTCTTATCCAGGATACAATTTGGGGCTTATACCATATGGACCATATGCCAGTGTAACGAATTTCCTCAAACTTTGATCTCAACTTTGCACCTTGAACATTTTGACACCCCGAAGTCCCGAAGCAACTTTTTTGCCTGGAGCCGGACTTGGATGGCAGCTTACTAGCCGATCTTGCTTTGGATCAACTGCGTGTGGATGTTGTAAGAGACCGAGCAACCAGAAGTATGCCTCGTGAGCTCTCTTATGCGGTAACGCAAGAAGGTATCAGTGTAAATTTTGGCAACATGGCTCATACAAAATTGATTTATGATTTAGTTGTTTCATCCTTCTTCTCTGGGACATGGAGGTGATATCGAGTCCTGGAGAAGGGAGGACAAACAAGTCCAGGCAGCATACGTCAGCCAGCCGGTCAATGCCGGTCAGGTCCTTTCCGTCCTGTCGAAGCGGAACAAAAACCAAACATATCAACCAATTCACCGATGGGAACTGGGACACGCACAATGGCTCATTTGAGAATGCAAAATAGCATACTGCTTAGTCTCATGCTAGGAGGTCTCAACCTGGCTTAGTTTTCTGCTGCAGTACACCGTCCGTCTTGGGTCTGAGGACCTTGTGTTTGAGCCTTTTGACCCATATAGTAATGCCCTTGATACTAGTAGCTTCTTGCTACAACTAATGCCCTTGTTACTAGCGATGCCCTTGCTACTAGAAGTATTGCCCTTGTTACTAGTAGCGATGCCCTTGCTACTAGTAGTATTGCTC